CTCTCTCTCTCTCTTCTCTCTCTCTGTCAGGCAAACGCACTCATGCGTTTACACACACACACATTCCTCTGTGTAAATATACATAAGTATTTATGCTGCACATTAAGATCCACAAGTAAGGCGTCTCTGCATAGCGCAAGGACATTAACAAATACAGGAATGGAGGACAAGTAAACAATTATTAAAAAATAGCAACAATTTATGTCACAAACCTTCATTAAGAGGCACAGCATATTAGGAATTAAAACACACCATGCTTTCAGCACCTTTTCACTACCCTGTGTGTTCTGATGTTTTTTTTTCTGTTTTCATTTGTTTATATTTCACTTTAGATTGCATAACTCCATGCCGCATGCAGAGCTTCGTCTTGAACCAAACCAAAAACCTCGTTTCTATGTTACATATAGGCTTAAAATGCACCAAACATATCTTTATCAATAGTATTAATTGCATCATTGCATTTGTCTATTTATATGATTCATATTATCTGCACGCTATTTTACACGTTAATCTCTGTAGTAATAAAATTATGATAAAATCATCATTATTTTGCACAATGAGAGGAATATACAATCCATCGAGATGAGTAGCAAGTTTACACACACGAAAAAGCAATGGAATAAGAGTGAGAATTAAAAAGAAAATTATATATATATATATATATATATATATATATATATATATATATATATATATATATATATATATATGTAATATACACATATATCTAGCGGATTTGCAAAAACAAAAGTGAGATTTTTGCAGAGCTCAGGCCACACACAGGGGACAAGCAGGAGCAGGAACATCCACTGAAAGCGGGAGGCATCGCACACACGGTTGTTACCTTCGGTTTGGCCGCCCGGCCAGCGCTGATGGCGTCCTGACACATATCTACAGACCATTGCGGCTTTTCAGGGGCCGCGAGGGGGACTCCGCTAAACCCAAGGCCGGTGTGGTGGAGGGAGGGTTATGCTGTTGTGTGTTCTTTGTGTGTGGGTGGGTGGGGGGGGTATGGGTGTTTGTGTGTGTGTGTGTAAGTGTGGGTGGGGAGGTGTTTGTGTGTGTGGGTATGGGTGTTTGTGTAGGTGTTTGTGTGTTGTTGTGTGTGGGAGGGAGGTGTTTGTGTGGTGTGTGTGGTGTATGTGGGAGGGGAGGTGTTGTGTGTGCGGGTATAGGTGTTAGTATCTGTGTGCGTGTGTGTGTGGGAGGGGAGGTGTTTGTGTGTGTTATGCTTATGTATTGTTGCTTATACCTGTGTTTGTGCTTCTGCTTATGCTTGTTTTCTGTCCCAGTATTTGACATGGAAATCCTGAGTGTATTCAATTATTCTGTTTCTAATAAATATACTCATCGGCCGACCTTGGGTTTGGGGAAAAAAGACATGCAACCGTATCCAAACAAAATACAGGAGGTTATAGTTAATGAACTAAATACTAGATCTATGTCTAATAACATCACATGGTATATAACACAGCAAGTATAAAATCGTATGTATGCAGACTAAGGATTCAGAAACTACTCCCATGTAATATGAAAATTCCCTTTGTAATGTACATCAAAACTAAATTAAACCACCTGATTCTTCAACATCAAGTAAGAAAAAATAGATAAAAAAATAGATAAAACACCTGATATAGATACCCATACTGTCTGACCCAAAGGAGTTTCGATAAATACACTTGCTATATTACATACACCATCAATAACTACTAAAAAAAAAAAAAAAAAAAAATCAATCACAACCACATAATGTGAAGACATTTTCTAAAGTTGTAATGCCCTTTATAAAACAGCTGTGCGTCATTTTAATTCCACCCGTTTTTTTCGGTTGTCATCTCAAAAATCAATCATAACCCAACATGCAATTCCTTTCTGTCGGTCAGCTGACAGGCATGATAATCCCTCCCTTTTTCATCTACGTGTTTTCTATGGCTATTTTCTTTATTAATGTTTATCCATTTCCATCATTACTCTATTGTCTCTTATCAAAACGGAGAAATATTGTTATGTATATAAAGAATAGAATATATCTAGCCTCTTTATTCTTCTTTCATATCTTAATGTCACTTTTATCAGCAAATATATTTTATCAACATGGAATATTGCAGTAAAAGTGTTCATGAAAGAAATAGAATTATAATTTAACTAAACTATATCCATAGAAGACATGGATGATACATAATTTCAAAGGCTGTTCAAGGCATGGTTTGTCTGAGCCTAGATTAAATTTACTCTATATTTTTACGCAAAATGAGACGAATTGAATATATCAATAAATGGAAACTAAATAAATACATAAATATCTAGGCAATTGAATAACAAGTAGATAAGTACATGAATAAGAAAATAAGAAAATAATAATAATAATAATAATAATAAAATAAATAAAATAAAATAATCGGGGTGAGTAAGGTTAATGAATTCTGACATGTACGCCAGGCTACGAAATATATACACTGGTATCGTTTCGGTTAATGTCCTGAAGCAACGGCAGAGTCCGTACCTGAACCAGTCGACGTTGGCCTTCGGCTGCGGGAGCCTGACGTAGGAGGAGCTCTGGTGGGGCGCCAAGTCCACGGAGAAGTCGCCGGGGCACTGGATGAAGGGCCGCAGGGTGTCTGGGTACGATAAGGCTCGCGTGATTAAGTCTGCTCTTGTGAAACACGCGTGGAGACTGGCAGATACACACGCAGATACACAGACACAAGCGCGCACGTTCACTCACACAGACAGACACAGACACAAACACAAACATTCACACACAAACACAAACACAAACATTCACACCCACACTCACGCACAAACACACACACACACACATTTAGGATATGTATATATGGATCCGTATAAAAATGCGCATCCATACAAACAAAAAAAAAAAAAATAAAATTATCATTACAAGCTTATATATTTACATAGCTAGTAATTTGGAAACTTACCAGTATGTGTATTTATTGTTATTTTTATTAGTTCTGTCATTTTGCATTCATTAACCAGATTATATACTATGGTGCGTCTATTTCAGGAAAGGGGCAACTGGCAACCCAAGCTAGATTCTGGCGTGTTCGATTCGATAAGCTTCCTCTACATTTTCATCAACTGATACAATACTTAATTAATAATAATAATCATGCTGACAAATAGCACTTACATTCAGGTGACTTGGAATTCTAATACTTTAAGCTATATTCGTTATCTTATTTACTGGAATTTTATAACTTCAACTTCACGTTATTAAATTTCCCAGATGGCACCTGGTTAATCGGAATGCTCCAGAATCCGGGTTGAGTTGCCAATTAATGTTTTTCCTGAGATTGGGCAGAATAAAGTTACTCATTATGTACAATCTCATTCCAAGATAATAGTAATAACAGTAATAATAATAACTGTAATAATTATATTAATAATAATAATAAGGATAATAATAATAAAAAATAATAAAAAATAATAATGATAATAATAAAAAAAATAATATAATAACACACAACAATAGTAATAATGGTAATGATAATGATGATAATAATGATAATGATAATGATAATAATTACAGTAGCAGTCATAATAATAATGATAGGCTATAAATAATAACAAGAATAACAATATAAACAATAAGTATGGTATTGATGATAGGGAAAAATAACAAGAATAATAATAAAAAACAATAATTATGATAAGGATGATGATAATAATAATGATAATATTGATAATTATAATAATAAGAAGAATGATAATGATAATGAATAATAAGAATGAATACCACTACTACTACTAATAATAAATAATAACAATAATAATAATAATAATAATATAATAATATAATTAATAATGATAATAATAATAATAATAATAATAATGATAATAATAATTAATATAATAATAATAATAATAATAATATATAATAATAATAATAATGATAATAATATAATAATAATAAATACCAATAATAATAATAATAATAATAATAATAATAATAATAATAATAATAATAATAATAATGGTAATTATAATAATGTTGATAATTATAATCGTAATAATAATAATAATAATAATAATAATAATAATAATAGTAATAATAGTAATAATAACATTAATAAATACAACAACAATAAAACGGTAATAATTATCATTACTATTGCTGTCACTATAATAATCATTATTATCAAAACAACAATAAAAATAAAATTGAATAAACTAATATGCACAAATAAACGATAACAGTAACAAAAATATAATCTGTATAAGACTAAAAAGAGGATTACAGGGAACTTGGATATAAAATGTTATAATTTCCTACAAACAGAAATGTGTTAATTAACAGAAACCTTAAATAACAGGAATGATGATTAAACATTTCTGATACTGACATTATATACAAATGATTTGGCAACAGAATATTGCCTCTTCATCAGTTTGAGAAAGTCCATTAACATATGATGAAACATCTACCCTCAGTGCACCCTCATAGAGTGATAAAATGAGGTAAAAGATAACTTGCAACCTCATATCTACTCTTCCTCAAGTTGCAAGCATTATATAGCGCAAAATAATGTGTATCATAGAAACATAAGCCTTATGTCTCCTTACAAAGTGGCCAAAGCGTAAGAGCATAACTTAGTAAATAGTTATTATAATATCTGAGTCGAGGTCATCCAGATCCTACGGCAGCAAAATGGTTAGGAATTTCATCCAGGGTTAATTTGCGATAATTGCCAACAAAGCTGTGCGAATAGCAATGGATTACTGAACCAAGAAGCTTCATATCGCCTACCATTACGGTCTCGAAACAACCATTCGAAGCCGTGAAACCTTGGCAGAGAATGCAGGGTGTTTGTGAGGGAGGCATCTGCAACGGGCGGTAGATGTCTTAACATACGAAGGGAGAGATCAGGACGCGTCAGCTTATTTCAGCTTGGGAGGAAGCCTTGTCATAGTTTACTGGCAAAGCTTCTGTGATTATTTTTGGAAATGATAGGTAGATGGCTGTAGAGAGATGCGTAGGTTGGGAGAAAGGATGAATAAAGGTTACTGGATATGCCGAACAAAAAGAGAAGTTGATAACGAGGGAGAGAGGGCGAGATAGATAGATAGATAGATAGATAGATAGAGAGAGAGAGAGAGAGAGGGGGGGGGGGGAGGTGGACTTGTAAGCATATTGAATTAATTGTTCTTAATAGCCAAAAATAAGAAAAAATAAAAAATAAATAAAAAATATAAATAAAATAGGCAAAGCAACCTCTCGCCAAAACAGCCAACTGGAAAATAACAGTATTTTCTTCTTTTTTTCATTTTTGATCCATTTTTTTTTTTTTTTTTTTTTTTACTTACATCATTCCACCTAGTCACAACTTGGTCTATAGGGGCCACGGGGTACTTCCCAGGAATCCATGGATTAATATGAAAATTATAACGTCGAATAAACTGAATTTAATCTTACCTACAGTACCTACATATTATCAACTCTCATATATCAATAAACTGGAATCTTTGCATAAAGTATTCCTGTCCTATAGCTATTGACACCATTGCACTTTTCATAACCAGTAAAAACCGAACCTGAAAATATGACATGCACTAAACGTGTTTTGGAGAATTTCACATATTGGTCTGCGAACACAATGAAAAAAAAAAAAAAAAAAGGAACCACTAGTCTCTAGGGTTTTAAACCGAATTTCAGTTGTTAGTCAAAATGGTGATATTCGTTCATCACAGCTTTTCGATTAAATTCGTCACACTATATTACATTCAACGTAGACTCTGGAGTACTCCGATTCATTGAGTATTTTTTGAGAAAAAATATATAATGAGTAAAACACAAGTGTAAAGCAAAAAAAAAACATATAATAATAATAATGGTCCTAAAAAGTAAGTATATATTCTAATACGCTTCCAGACGTGTAAATGCAAATGTAAGTATTAAGTGTCATCTGATTAAAACTTAATAAAAGGCAAATCAAAGTGCTCCAGAGTTTGAGGTGAGTTGCCAGGTACACTTTTCCTGAGATTGGACGCAATGTTGTAAGATTTTTTCTTCGAACTCCATTGCGTTTTTTTTTTTTTTTCTCAAACTCAAGAAATGAAATAGGTATATGCTATCAAATGCCTCACATTGATATGCAAATAGAAAATGCAAATTAAGTAAAATGGTACTCGTTTCCTTTGAATTTTTGAAAATTTGAAAGGTCTGTTAAAAATAAGCGACACTTGAACGTCATTTAAAGTTTATGATAAACTTTGATCGATCTATTCTATTGAATTTCGCTGTAGTATTTAAGGTTATGTATTCTAGAATTTGGTTTCGATAATTCTGACTAGACTAGAAAAACGTTGAGATGTTTTCATTCTTTCTCATGATTATTTTTCCTTTCCCTTATATATCTATTGCAAGTTCATAATACAATCAATTAATTCTTAAGAGCATCGATGCATTTCATTAGTAATTTGTCGAAGAAAAGTTGTGACAAAGTTAGAGCATAGCTGAGCTGGCGAGTCGGAAATAATTTGCAATTATACGAGCAATGCAATTTACAGGTTGGTTTTACTTGAGTTTATAGCATGTAAAAAGCAAATGGTTTACAATTACAAACTCACCAAAATTTGTTAATAGATGGTTCTTTGAGGCAAATTCATTACAGTGATAAACAGTGATTTTGAAACAGATATTGGACACGAAGCATCAGTATTCGTAAACAATAAGAAAACCGACATTATTCACTATTAATTTATTATTACTTATTATTCACTAATAAGTTCCTTATTTATATATAAAATTACATAGTAATATTCAAGATCTAGGTAAATAAGCTCATTCACTCAACTCACCGTCACATCACAAGCCCCCACGCCCCCCCCCCCTCCTTCCCACAAGATACCACCCCACAACACACGTAACAAGAACAACAACACTGTAACGAGGCACGCACCTTTCTCGCAATACGGGGTCACGGCATCGGGTGACCAAGTCCCGGCAGGTTGGCACGTCCGGACGGGGTTCCCGACGACGCGGTACCCCGGCGAGCACGAGAGGTAGCAGTGCTGGCCCACGCTCGAGGTACGGCGGGTGCAGCGGTCGGGGGACACGCGGCCGTGCTCCACCTCCGCCAGGGCTGAGCATTTCACAGCTGGAAGGAGGAGGGGTTGGTGGGATTTGAGAGCTGATTAAGGAGGAGGTTGAGGAGGGGGTGGTTTTGACAGCTGATTATGAAGGAGGGGAGGGGGGTGGATTTGACACTGATTAGGAAGGAGGAGGGAGTTGTTTGGATTTGACATCTGATTAAGGAGGAGGGTTGGGAGGAGTTGGATTTCACAGCTGATTATGAAGGAAGGGGGGGGGGATTTCACAGCTGATGGGAAGGAGGAGGGGGATGGATTTCACAGCTGATGGTAGGAGGGGGATGGATTTCACAGCTGATTAAGAAAGAGGAGGGGTTTGTTTGGATTTGACAACTGATGTGAAAAGGGGGGGGGGGAGTTTATATGGAATTGACAGCTAATAAGAAAGGGATAAATTTGTTTGGCTTTGACACCTGATAGGAAAGCAGCTGATGGACAAGGTGGGAGGGCTTGGACTTGACAGTTGATGATTAAAGGGGGGAGGGGCTTGTATGGATTTGACAGCTGATAGAAAGGCATCTGGTGGCCAAGGGGGAGGGGCTTACTTGGATTTGACAAGTTGAAGAAAGCGAAATTATGAAGTTTTTCTTTTATGTGAATGAGGATTTCAACTGTGCAGTAAGTAGCTGTCAGAATTTTAGTAAGGAATAGAAGGAGAAAGAAACAAAAAAGAAGGAAAAAGAGAGAGAAAGAGAAGGTGGGTGGATAAGTAAAACTCGAGACGAAGATAGATATAAGCATAGAGAGTAAAAGAGCAAGAGTGAGAGAGAGGAGAGAAGAGAAAGAGACCGAGAAAGATAGAGCCGGAGATAGAGGTAGACAAAACCAAACAGACATCTTAAGACAGATACAGACAAGGGAACAGACAAAGACACAAATGGTTAGAGAATATGAGGATCAAAATAAAAAAGAAAAAAACATAAGAAATACAGAGAATTGACAAAATAATAATAATTATAATAATTAATAAATAATAAAAAGACATGCGATATAACCACAGTACCTTGACACGTGACAGGGTTATTAGACCAAGTTCCTGATTGGCTGCACGTGGTATTGGCATTCCCGTGCAGCGCCGCCCCTTCGGAACAGGTAAAAGTGCAGGTGGTTCCCATAGGGTATGCTCCGCCCACGAGGTCCTTCGAGCATACCATTTCCCCGTGCAGAGGCGCCACGATCACCGGGCAGAACACGGGTTTCACTGGAGAGGCGAGGCGGAGATTAGGGCATATGCTCGGCTTTACTAAATTGCTTGATTGTAGTTGTTACTGTACTAAGGTGTCTGGTTATGTATCATATTATATAAGGTAGCTGGCCCTACGGTGGTACAGCAGGAGCTATATCTTAAACTAACACGGGTATGCTCCGTCCTTCGAGCATACCATTTCCCCGTGCAGAGGCGCCACGATCACCGGGCAGAACACGGGTTTCACTGGAAAGGTGAGGCGGAGATTAGGGCCTGGATATGCTCGGTTACTATACTAAATTGCTTGATTGTAGGTGGCTACTGTACTACGGTGTCTGGTTATACATCATACTACATGGTGCTCTATACTTTACTGTTTGGCTATACTTGGTTACTCGTTATATTCTATACTATATACTACTCTGTACTATACCGTTTGCTTATACTTGGTTAGTATATTACGGTGTCTGGTTATACTCTATATTACTTTATACTATATCGTTTCATTATACTTGATTACTACGGTCTTTGGTTATACTTGGTCATTATACTACGGTGTCTTCAGTATAATATTATTAAAATGAGAAAAAAAAACATGACTCACGATCACAGGAGTGGCCGTCTTCGCTGATCAGATACTCCACCGAGCAGCCGCAGTGGTAGGACCCGAGGGAGTTGAAGCAGTCCTGGGCGCAGCCTCCGTTATCCTCGTCGCATTCGTTCACATCCCAGCACTGGTGAGAGGTGCTGGGGAAGGGGGGGGGGGGGAGGGGGAGATGGGTCATGAATGTTTGTTTTTTATGTTTTTAGTAATGTGTGGGCAATGGGGTCCTGTGAGTAGATGTGTTTTTGTTTTTTTTTTGATTGGTTGTTTTTTGCCTTGGGTGTTAGGTTTTTGTCTGTCTGTCTGTCTGTCTGTCTGTCTGTCTGTGTGTTAGCTCTCTCTCTCTCTCTCTCTCTCTCTCTCTCTCTCTCTCTCTCTCTCGCTTAATAATATGATAATAGTGATAATGATAGTAATGATAAGTACAACAATACTAATAACAATAATGATAATAGTGATAATGATGATAATGATAATAATAAAAATGAAAACAAAAATACCAATACTAATACCAGTAACAATAATAATACTAACACTGATAATACTAATACCAATACTAATATTGATAACAATAACTATAACAATAATAAGTCACAACAACAACATAGCATTGGTACATACTCTGGCTTCGGCTTGAACCCGGGCCTGCAAGCACAGTAGTAGGAGCCTGGGGTGTTGAAGCACTCGTGTTCACAGGGGGCTTTGGCACACTCGTTCACGTCAAGGCATTTGTAAGGATCTTCAGATATCTCATAACCTCTTGGGCAGCTGCGGAGAAGGGTTAGGGGGGATCATCATTTTATTATTGTGGATTTATTATTTTATTATTTTATTTCTTTTATGTTCGTTGGTTGTTTCATCATCAGTGTCGTCTCTGTTATTAACGCTGTCGGAACTATATATCTTGTTAACTTTATCACTTTTATAATCTTCTTTAAAAACAGCATTGATAGAATATACTCAGATTAGAACATTGCTAAATTGCAGGTTTCCCAGATTTTTTTCCGTTTTCCCCTTTACATACTAACCACACTTTTATCAATGAATATTCTTATAAAACTGATAAACTATAAAACTGTAACTGCCAACGAAAGTTTATTTAAATAACAACAAATTACGAATTCATGAATTACCGACCATATCAATCTCACAAATAAAACTACAGCAATAACAGTGAGATTGCTTTATCACAAGTATGGTAACGACCAAATGCAATCCGAGGGACCTACGTGCACAGGAACGACCCCTCTCTGTTGACGCAGGTGTGAGAGCATCCTCCGTTGGCCACAGAACACTCGTCTATATCTTCACAGGAGGAACCGTCACTAGCAAGGCGGTATCCGGTGGGGCACTCGCACCTGGTGATAAACGATTCAATATTTAGACAAATGGATAGATGGCTGGACTACTGGATAAATGCTGAGGAATGAGGAAGTACGCTTAATTCTCTTTATTTTGTTTATAAGTCTTAGTAAAAAAGTGAGTGAATGGGTAATTGGATGAACGCGGATTATTGCTGGTGATATTCCCTTTATAAGAAATGGATTCATTGCGTACCTGTAGGAGCCTCGTGTGTTGTGGCACTCGTGGCTACATCCTCCGTTGTCGGTGGCACACTCGTCCTCGTCCTTGCACGTGGACATGTCTCCGCTGAGAGCCATTCCGAACGGGCAGTGGCACTCGTAACCCCCTTCTTTGTTCACGCACTTGTAGCTGCACGAGCCGTTGTCCAGCTGGCACTCGTCAACGTCCACGCAGGTGTGATTGTCCGCCGCCAGCGCGTAGCCCTCGGGGCAGAGGCAGGTGTAGTGGCCCTTGTGGTTGGCGCACTGGTGGGAGCAGCCGCCGTTGATGGTTGCCTAAACTCACGTCCACGTCGAGGCAGGTGAGCTTGTCGACGCAAGTTCATTCGGCCTCCTTGTCGTGGCACTCTAGCACCTCTGTGTCGGTAGCCCTTTTCTTTTTGTTTTGCTGTTTTGCACACTCACGTAGAGAGTACAGCTCGCCTGTTTGTTCGTGTAGGCACCGTTTAGTCTCGCAGGGTGTGCGGTCTTCCCTCCCTTTGATGTACGCGTACTTGGCGGTCTAGTGTCAGGTGTATTTTGTCTAGTATCATATAGTTATATCTCTAGGTGTCTAGTTACGTTGACTGAGATATATTTAGCTCTGTATATCGTCGACTAGTCAATCCTATCGTTCATAGTATAATTCGGTACTGGTCACTATAGATTATTGGTCTGTGTTCGATCTCATTTCAAAGCTATATGGAAATGGCATCCATTAGTGCATATAATGAGCTGTCAGATAGTGCAGCTTCCCGTATCTAGGTTATGTTATTGACTATAGCATTATGGTGGAGATAGCAGCGCCGTTGTCCCTGCTGGAAATATTCTTGTTACATTTCCGTGCTTAGTTCGAGTAGGAAGTCCAACCCCAGATTATGTGACCAGCCGTCGGGAGAGAGTCACACGAAGGACTGCCCGTCGGTGTTGTGTGCAGTTTTCCAGTACGTCTAGACACGCTGCCTGTCGATGGAATCGTTATGAGGACTACACCTCAGCTACGCTTGCGTTGTTCCTTTCGCCTCACAGCCCAGTAACCTTCTGGGCAAGGATGCACTTGTCCAAGACTTCTCTCTCGTTCGCTACGTTATGATCCTGCAGCACTCGTAGTGGCTGATGGCCCTTTGCGCCCATGCCACACCGCGCCGTTGTCTTGCGGTAGCACTTAACGTTCAGTGTCGTCGTATGACACTTCATGTTACAATGGATGACTTTCGTTGTATGGATGTCGAAGTCGACGGGCTTATTCGGTGTTAGTTAGTGCACGAGTTGAAGTACAAGTAGAGACGGGAGATAGTACGAGAGGGAGAGACAGAGACGCCAGACGCAGTAGAGGGAGACGAGCATGCAGGGAGTAGACGATGAGAGAGGATGACCGTACGAAGGGTAGTATGATTGAAGGACAGAGTTAGGATTAGTGGAAGCAGGAAGCGCAGGAGAGAGAGAAATAGATAGGAAGGATAGAAAAAGAGAGAGGGGGGATCAAAGGAGAGATGTGATCAGAGAGATAAGGCCGGATATATGCTTGATGATAACGAAAGAAGTAAGCTCGGCAGCCATAACTAATCAGAGCAGACATCACAGAAAACGAGCAAGCAAAACGAGGAGGTTGGTAACATCAAAACTAATGTAAATTGATGGGATGGATGTAGAGGCAGCTGATATACAGGCGCGGAATCGACATACAATACACTCAGAGACTAACTACAACCAGCAAATTCACATAAACTTAGCAAATACCAGCATACACAGAATGCTTCCGTATCAAGAAACTAGGTGGAAGACTAACACATTATCGGCATCGCTTGCTGGAATCCACGAGGCTAGCACTGCGCTCAGGGCTAACCTGCCCCACGCAATCACCACGGAAGTTACTGGAGTCAGGGGTGTGCCGATTACTCGCCTCTACACCTCTTTCCGTAGGAGACCGGAAAATGACCTGCGCGCGGTGTGACACCTGAGGCTCTACTGGGTCTAGACACTGCTTGAGTTGGGAGGGAATGGTGACTGGAAGTTTAACCTCGTGCTCGCTGTCATC